TTTCTTATTATAGTTGTAAATAAAAACAACACTTTTTATCCGTCCATTTAACACTTACAAACATGCATATTTTAAGTTGTAAGGATCTGTAGCCTCTTAATTTTTTACATTAGACACAAGACCTGTGATGTCACATTAAATCGTGAATATGAGATAAAGGATTTAGGAGTTGTCTTTCAGTCTAATTTGAAGTTTAATAACCCTTTCTTACACATAACTAAAAAAAACAATAAAAGCTTTGGGTTTTTAAATCAGAAATACAAAAAAAAATTAGAATTACCACCAAAATCAGATTATATAATGCCTTACTAAGACCCCATCACAAATATGGATGCCCTTGAAAGCCACACATATTGATCATATTGAAAAAGTACAAAAAATATTTTTACCCTACCTTTTTATGCCATAAAAAATACTTGTACCTTTATAAGATCTCATATAAAACTATGCTCGATAGTTTTAAGATTAAATCTCTTTTACAAAGAAGAAAGCAACAGGCTGTGATATATTTTGTACTCTATTTTAAATAATGTTAAGTACAAAGATTGTGATTTGATTGACTATATAAATTTTAATGTGGCAAAGATTAATCTAAGAATCCCAAGTAACAAAAAATTATTTAGTTTAGATCCAAGTAGTACCTATATATTTCCTTTTAACAAGATAATGGCTGTTACCAATGAGATTTTTAGCGAGGTCCAAATAGATATCTTTAATGTTAGCCTAAGAAAGTTGAGTACTGTACTAAATTAAGTTCACTAGATATAAAGGTTTGTTTTGTTTTTAAAGTTCTTGTTACTTAACTCTACATGTAACTACTATTAATTTTTTATAGTATCCAATAAATAAATTATACCTTATGGCTGCTTTCAAACAATTCTGTGTGTAGTCACTCAGTTTAAAGTAAATTTTAAATTAATGAGTTTAATAAGAATGTCAAATAGTGATATGTATAGTGTCTATGAATTTGCTGTGTGTAGTAAATGGCCAATAAACATAACTTTGATATTTTTATTACAAGTGTAAAAACTACGAAAACCATGTACATATAGTTCCCATTTTTAAATAAATTCATAATAAAAAGTAACGATTTTAGTCTGCCATACTTGAACTCATTCACTAAAACAAGTCACTGAGCATATATTTGTAAAAAAAACTGCACTAAATATGTCTCCATTATAAATTTTTATATTTAAAACTACCTACTTTCCTATAGATTTTGCAGTAAGTACCTAAATAACGTATAGAATAAATTTCTACAACATAGAAAAGTTTTAGATTCGATTAATTCTTAAGAAATAAAGCAAAATCTCTATTTTGTCACTCTAACCTTGTGTGTTATATATTTTCCTTGACAAGCTAACGTTATATTTTGAACTAAAAGTAATTAAACTTTTCACTAAAAAGTAATATTTCACATACATAAAAAAAATTTAAAACGGTTCTGCCTTCTCACATTTGCGAAGACTGCCCTGATATCTAATCTATTTTCTCTTCTTCAAAGTAATTAAGTTGTTCAACCGTTGTTTATAAAGGTATCTCACATCTCGCTCATACACACAAATTTGAAAAGCAGCAGAACAAAAATTCAACTAACCAGGTATACCAAGTCCGTGTAAAGAAAACTTTTCATATCCCGAAAACGTCAAGTGTCAACTAAAATTTCTACTTTTAAAGATCAAAAGTGCCGCCTCAGAGTGCCAATACTAATTGGTATATATACTGGGTTTGTACAATGTTAACCTGCCTTTATGTCCGCTACATGCCTGCTGGCTACCCCGCGCGCCCGCTGCCACGGTGACGCGCGCGCTGTCAACAAAAAGTAAACAAAAACAATATGGTTATGGTTTATGGTTGCCGCCGACGAAAACATGTGAGTGAGAGTATTTTTATTTATTTTAGTTTTAGATATGTTATTTAGGATTATTTAAAATTAAGTAAAGGTATTTTGATGCATTAACGAGTTTTTACCAGAGAAAATTCATTATAAAATACATAATTTCCAAATCAAAGAAAGAATGGTGCCACATTTTAAACATTCTATGTGTTACCAATCATGAATTATGAGATAATTTTAATACGAAATCGATTACAAACACAAATCGTTCAAGACTAAGACTGCTAAGATTTGCTTTACCTTTAGCACCCTCAAAACCAGATACACCAAAGATAATAATACTTAGTAATGTTGTTATTACACCTCCAAATTACCTGCGTTACATTTTAATAATATAGATCAAAATTTCAAAGACGGTCAGTCATCAATTGAATTTGAATCTTACATAAGGAACAACGTTTCGATAATGGATTTTTAAATAAATTTAATAGAAAACAGAAAAGTAAAATTTGCAAATTAAAAAAGGCCCTAATGTAACGTTTAAACTGCAGTCAAAATTTCAGAATCAAAGATATTTCACCAATTTAATTCAAAACTATTATAATGTAGGTTTTTTCAGGTTTCTTTAAGAATCATCCCAACTGTTTACACAAAGCATAGAAACGTATAATTCTTAATCAAATGAAACTGTTCGATACTGTGTTTTATGTTTCAGGGATATTTTTCATAATGTTAGGGGCACAATGCTATATTCTGGAATATGTAGCAACCTGATAGACAACTACTTCATACATAAATTTTTTAAATATTGGATTTGTATGGGTGTTTCCTAATTGGGTACATTAAATTTAAGGGTGTGTTCTTGAGCTAATTTCATGAAAAAAAGTCCATATAAACATGGGTCCATAAACGCTGAATAGTGGCGTTCATTTTTTTGACAAAAATAATTGGAAAGAAACCTCCGAGACGGCACAGGACCTAATAATTTTAACCTAGAAATAAATCTGCCAATATCAAAAAAATAGATTGAATGACATTTAAGGAGGTCCTTTCGCCACCAATGTTAAATAAAAAATATTAGATTATGACTAAATTTAATTTTTTTCTAATAGTTGAAGTTCTTATTTATCTAATAGTGAACCTTACCGTGCAAATTTTTGAGAAGTATAAAATTTCAAGTAACCTAGTTGAAATTTTTTTGTGATTTTTTAATATTAATTTCTCAATAAATTCCACGGTAATCTATATATTTTATTGTAAAAAACAAAACCTAAATATTTCAAAAACCTTATTTTTAGTTTTTTTCTACTCCATCTAATCAATAAATAATAATATAATTCGAGAATTGTTGTTGAGGTCTTACTTTCTGGTAAGACACTGTACAAATAGTCACATTTTTAATTTTTTTTTCTCAAAAATTTACACGGTAAGGTATAATTAAAAGTTCACTATTAGATAAATAAGGACTTCAACTATTAGAAAAAAAATTAATTTTAATCATAATCTAATATTTTTTATTTAACATTGGTGGCGAAAGGACCTCCTTAAAAAAATAAAAAAGTTTAGAACAAAGCGTTTCTGGACCCATGTTTATGTGGACTTTTTTCATGAAATTAGCTCAGGAGTACACCCTAAAATTTAATTTCACCCTGTAAATAATTTTATTTTTTGATTAAAATTTTACTTTATCATAGCGAATATCGCTATAATAACGCGAAAATGAAGTTTTTGTGAACAAATCGCACACCAGTAATAAAGTGGCATAACTCAAATTTCCATGTTTAAACTTTTATTCGTAAAACTTTCCAAAATGGCGCCCTTCATATGTAAAATTTTTTAAATAACGGTGTTACTCCAACGCAGTACGTCTAGCGTTTTCCATTGGCATGCACTAAGTTTGCACTGAGTTCTAGGTTGTCCTGTACCAGTGCACCGTAATATTGCTCTGGGTGTAGGGTCAATGGAACACGGAACATATGTCACATGTCACTTGTCAAGGAAAAGGCAAAGCTTTTATAAAATTAGGCATTCCAACGACCTGTCTAAATGGCTACCAGTGGGTAATGACAGTTTAGATATGGCAACCCTGTTGTCATGTTGTTATTAACAGGGTCAATGATACATATATAGTTATATAGATTGCTCAAAGCTGGTCGTTTACGAGCGGCCATATTGCCTGGCAAATATTTATTAATTTGAATCGGTTTAGCAAAAATGTGTTTTAAAACCAATTTTTAGCCTTTAGATATTAAAAAAAAAATAATTGCTTACATTTTTACTTCAAGGCATAAGCTTATATTTATGTTGAAAAATATGGATGATCAATCTATGTAACTATCTATTTCATTGACATTGTCAAATCACCAGGCCTACAGGGTTGCCATCATTTTGCATATCATAACCCGTCAAAACCCACTGGTAGCCATTCAGTTTGGAATGCCTAATAACATCTAATACCGCATTTGAGAATCCACATCGGATGCATCTGAGATGTAGTAAATTTTTGATCACGTGATTCAGTATATGTAAATGTAATGGGACAGATGTGGCCGATGTGGATAAAAAAAAGCTTGAGAGGTAAAAAATGCATCCGATGTGAATTCTCAAACGCGGCATAAGTTAATAACAGAATGGAAGAAATTATAAATTTTAAAATAAACACTGAAAACATTGCTTTAACCCTTCCCAATGAGGATCAAACAGTTATTCATAGACTTAAAAGTAAGTAATACAAAATAACGCTAAACGAAATATAAATGCTATTTTTTTAGGTGAAGACGATTTTGCTGGTAGATACATAATAAATCTTATTAATAATGGTTATTTGTCCTTAGCAGAGCCAGTAAATGAAATTTATCGAATAGATGATGACAAGTAAGTACCAAAATTTAATATGAATATCACAAATTCTAAGAATGGTGTCTTTTTTATAGTAAAACTCTCTTGTATTCATCAAATTCAGTTGAAGATGTAGAATGTGTAGATGAAGTACAACATATTGTGGAAGAAAATATAAAAGAGTTTCAAGATCAAGACGATAATATAAAAAAAGCAGGTGTATAAATTTCTGTTACATCAAGTGTAGTTTATTCATTCAGTATTTGTTGGTATTAAAAACTACTTTAGTATTACAATAAAAAAACAACCCTTTCAATAAAATTGAGGCTGAAACTAAACTGCTACTGGATTAATATGAAGAAAATATATCCCTGGTAGGGCCAATGAAAAAATATAAAAATAAAAAGATTATGTGGCAAGATGTCTCTAATATAATAAATAAAACAATTAAAATCAACAGAACAGCATTACAGGTGGAAAATCGCTATAAAACTGTTTTAAAAAGAAAAAAGGCAGCTGTAGAAAACAATATCAGGACGGGCTCATTACGTCAAATTGTACCTTACGAGTTTGAATTAAACAAAATTGGTGCACTGGATGACAGTATTGAGCCAGAGGTACTGGGTAGTGCCTCTGGAATTAGAATTTTAAAACCCATTCATAATATGCCTGTTGATGCAGAGAGCCTCCCCAGCACATCGATTTCATATAATACAAAAAGACTTGTTCTGAAACTTAAAAAAAGGGATACACTATCACAAACATTAACATTAATCCACAAAGAAAAGGAAGAATCGAGAATAAGGCGCCACAAGGAGAAGATCGACCTGCTTAAGGAGTTATTTAAAAAATGATGTAGAGGGTGTTATTTTTATACTTTTTTTTTATTTTATAGTACAAACAACTTTTTTTTTATTTATTTGAAATTCTAGAGTACGTTTTTTTTTAATTTAAGAATATGTTGATACAGGGTTGTGAAATTTGGGATAATTTCGAAATAAAATAGTTTTTATTTAAAAAGTATTTTATTTATCAAACTTAAATTTCTACAAAACACATTCTGACGAATTTATTACGTGTAATGAAGATAATCCCTTAGCCTATTGCGTTTTCCTCTCCTAATCGTTTTAATCGCCATTCAGAAACAGTTTCTGTGGCAAAACCATTATCACTATTGTCATTAACCATTTCATCTTCCGCCAAGGTATCCTTATTATCAATGCAAATATTATGCAGTATGTAACATGAAATTATAAATTGTGTAATTTTTGGGACAGTATGCATATCCAATTGGAGCAATTGTCTAAAACGGCCCTTCAAAATTCCAAATGAATTTTCAATTAACACCCTTGTTGAGCTGAGTTTCTTATTGAATTGCTGCTCCCTTTCGGTAAGATTTCCATAGTCCCTGTAAGGAACAAGCATCCATTCCCTGATTGGGTAACCATTATCCCCTAGTAAGTGGTTCTGATATAATTCAGGGAGAGCATTAGATACATATGATAATTTCAGTACCCGTGAATCATGAATTTTTTCTGGGATTCCAGTGAAAATGTCGATGCACGTCTATTATAGTCACAAATGGCCTGTAAATTAATTGATGGAATGTCATGTCTGTTTACACATGTAGATTTCAGTTTGTAAGCTGGTGTTCTGATTCTAATTGACGTTCCATCTATACACCCTAAAATTCCAGGAAATCCAGATACCTGCAAAAAATCTTTGTTGCTTTTCCTCATCACTGTTTGGCATTTTGATTATTGAGGAACCTATGCTCAACAGGAAATCAATTACCCTTTGGTTAACCCTTACAAGGGAAGAAATTGTCATTCCAAAACGTTCTGCAGTGTCACGTAGAGAGCACTTGTTACCTGCAAACCTATTTAAAAATAATACCTATGAAATAATATGAATCATTACCCTTACCATAAAAAAGAAAGTATGTGGCTTGTGGCATTGATCTGTGGTCTGCCTCCATGATTAGTACTTTTAGAAAAAAAATGTTGAATTTTCAAATTTTTTTATCAGCATATCTGCAGTTTTGGGAAAAGTCTGAAGTGACCTTTAAACTAAAACAAATAAAACCTAGAAGATTTACCTAATTCTGAACAAATCACACTTTCTCACCTGCTTTGCATTCATTTCATTTACAACATCAGTAATGTAGTTTCTAATTTTTGCACAGATGTTCGTTTTGGAATTATTTCCTCTAAAATCTCTATCATCCGAAGATGACGATGATAATAAAAAATAGCACAGCATATTGCTGTTTTGATTTTCCAATTCGCACCTCTCATCATTCCCTGCTATTTTTATTGTTTTGCATTATTATTGCACTATATCGACACCACCTCCTAAGCAGGGGCGGAAAAAATTGCACTCAGTGCAATTTTAATTGCACTAGTTTTTCAATGGAATACGAAACACTGATGCAGTGCAACCAATGGAACACAAATTTTGCACTCATTGCACCCTAGTTTTGCCAATAGAAAACGCTATTAGAGTTAGAGTAGCACCGTCATTTAAAAAGCTGTACATATAAAGGGCGCCATTTTGTGTCGTCTTACGATTAAAAGTTTAAAATGCAAATTTTAAGTAATGCCACTTTATTACTAAGAGTGCGAAATCTTAATTTGGCTAACAGTTTTTAATGTGAATCATTTTTACTGTCAAATTTGAATGGCCCCGCGCTTTTCTTTTTTTCTTCTTTTTTTATTCTTTTATGTGGCCTCTTACCCGATAAGGAAATACTTGTAAAATGAACCACGTCCGACAGGTGGCGCTGAAATTCTATCACCGTTTTCTAACAAGGGAGTTACCCGCGGTTCGTCCTAATCTAAAGGGTTCGTAGACAACACGATGGCCTCTTCCGTCCGTTGCTAAGGAAGAGTGTCACGGAATGAAAAATCGAGCTGACAGAAAATATTCTGCAGCGGTTCATTAATAAGTTTTTTAAAATGGCCTGTTAAAAAATGTCCTGGAATACTGCTCTGTCTTAGGAAAACAGACTTTACTCCTTTTCCTGGCCAAATTAGTAGGTGGTTGGATCAAGTGCGGGTCACTACTTGTTTTGAAAGAGTTCAACTATTGGATCCTGCCGGTTGTTTTGAAAGAGTTCAACTATTGGATCCTGCCGGCGAACTCGACACACATCACTTTTGAACGTAAAAAGACACAGAACTAATACCGGAGGACAAAATGCGTTTATTTATTACTTGTGCAAGAACTATAATACATTTTACTCGGATTTGCAACTCCTGAACGCCTAAGTTTTACTCGTATCGTCCCGTGGTGTTGTAGTGTTTTTCCTTTTTTAATATTTTATATTTGAATAGTTTGAAAATTCGGAAACAAATCTCAAAAATCCCCCTACGGATTATTAAGACCTTCCCCAAACCCGAAAGTTAAAAACAAATACTTAGAGATTTGATTTTATATTTGTTTAACTCAATACAGTTGTTTGTGTTAAGTTAGAAATAGTGTACTAATTAGAAATTATTTTCTGTACGTACCACATAAATAAATAAATTAAACCAAAAAGGAGCAATAGAAACAACACAGAAGACAGTTAAAATTAAACCAACCAGTTTTAAGTTAAACAAATTGTCGGCTCGCCTACTAGACCTTATCAAGCACAGCAGGAAAATTTGTTTTTATTATACCTCTGTGAAAACACTATCTTTACATGACTATTTAGCGAACCGAACATGGGCTTTTTCCGTAAAATAAAAAGTTGTTACCAACAAAAACCTTTTGTGATAAGGATAAGATACCCACTTGGTCAAAATAGTTTTTTCCAGTAGCGTGCCAACACATTTTAATACCCTACACATTTTAATTTCTGGATTTAATTAACTTTAATAAATAATCACAAGCTCTCTAAATGGTTTTGAAATAGTATTTTTATTAAATTTTCAATAAAAACGGCATTGTGTTACTTGTTGTGTCTTGGAATAACACGACGATAATTTTTTCATCGGGATCAAATTACATAAGTAATGATAAATAATTTCGCCAATTCACCAGAAAATTGTAATAATTATTGCAGTCAAATAAAAAATCTGATGTATCCAACACATGACTTTCCTATCTAGTTATTACAGGCTTTTTCCGCTTATTTTGTACAACCTATTGCAGCACCTCTATAAATGTTTAGAGGAGGATAAACTAAATACATACATTTTCCACATACATCTACCTCGAAACATTTTTCTATAGATATTCATTGAAAACGAAAATACTGAAAAATTTAAATTTAGCACTTTTCCTACAATTTTTCCATTACGGTCCATTTTAGAAAAATCATGTATAAACAAAAATTATAGATCGATATCGCAAACAACTTTTTATCAAAAATTTTCATAAAAATCAGAATTTTGCACATTTTGTCAAATTTCTCGAATACAGACCATTTCAGGAAATTTTTACATAAAGCAAAAATTATAGATAATAATATTAGAAGTAACTTTTATTTGATCAATTTTTTTCTCCAAACATAAATAACAGATATATTCCATAAAATATAAAAACGGCCACCCATAAAGTACCCCCCAGATGTTTCGACTTTGTCCAAAATCCAATCATTTCTTTATCCGTTTTTGAGTTTTCTTCAAATTTCTAAATTTACACATTTTCTCAAATATCTCGAATACCGTCCATTTTAGAGAAATTATGTATGGGATAAAAATTATAGAAAATTATATTGCAAACAACTTTTGTTGAACAATTTTTATAAAAAAATATTTTTTTACATTTTGTCAAATTTCTCGAATACGGACCATTTTGGGAAAATTTTGTATATAAAAAAAAAATTATAGATAATAATATAAGAAGTAACTTTTATTTAAAGAATTTTCTTCCCTAAAAGTAAATAACAGATATATTCCATAAAATATAAAAATGACCACCTATAAAGTACCCCCCCAGATGTTCCGCCTCTGCCCAAAATCTAATCAGCTCATTGGACGCTGGAACAAAGCTTAAGTTTAAAATTTGGTGTTTTTCCGTGTATCGGTTCATGAGTTATGCGACACACACACACACACACACACACACACACACACACACACACACACACACACACACACACACACACACACACACACACACACACACACACACACACACACACACACACACACACACACACACACACACACACACACACACACACACACACACACACACACACACACACACACACACACACACACACACACACACACACACACACACACACACACACACACACACACACACACACACACACACACACACACACACACACACACACACACACACACACACACACACACACACACACACACACACACACACACACACACACACACACACACACACACACACACACACACACACACACACACACACACACACACACACACACACACACACACACACACACACACACACACACACACACACACACACACACACACACACACACACACACACACACACACACACACACACACACACACACACACACACACACACACACACACACACACACACACACACACACACACACACACACACACACACACACACACACACACACACACACACACACACACACACACACACACACACACACACACACACACACACACACACACACACACACACACACACACACACACACACACACACACACACACACACACACACACACACACACACACACACACACACACACACACACACACACACACACACACACACACACACACACACACACACACACACACACACACACACACACACACACACACACACACACACACACACACACACACACACACACACACACACACACACACACACACACACACACACACACACACACACACACACACACACACACACACACACACACACACACACACACACACACACACACACACACACACACACACACACAACACACAGACACACACACACACAACACA